CTGATCATTGGTTTCAGTGTCGGACCGCTATTTGTTATGACATTTCCTAAACTATGTTTTGTAAGTTGATTTAATTTTTAATTTTAATTAATTTCTCTATAATTAACCAAAATTTTATTTTTAGTTAACATTATAATTATTGAATATTAATTAATTTATTATATAGTTATCAATAATGTATTGTCGTTACTTCATATTATCGCTAAAATTTTACGATACTATTAAATAATTATCAAAATATATTTATTATAATAAAATATTATTATAAATTATTTTTTAACTTTTTATTTAAATAGAGAATTACTAACACATAATAAAATACATATTTAATTTCATTAGTTAATTATATAATTATACAACATTATATCTAACTATGTAAACTATATAATTTATTAATTACTTAATTTTGTTTTCAATAAAATAATGTAAATATTTGTTTAATATTAAAACTATTAATTTGTTTTTTACAATATGTTTGGTTCTATTTTTTTAGAATTTTTTTTAATTTTTGTTTTGTTTGTTTGTTTTAGTTATCAATTATTTATTGTTCGGTATTTTATACTTTCGCTTAATTTTTACTATACAATTAAATATTTTTAAAAATATACTGTTATTGTTAATAAAAATATATAAATTACAAAATAATTATCTAAAAATAAAGTTATTATTTTTATTATTATTACATTTTTAGTCATATTTAAATATTTAATTGAATTTGTAGATAATATCTAATAATTAAGTGTTAATGTTATACATTAAATTATATATTATTATATATTATTTGATGTAATAATATTAGTTAAAAATAGAAGACAATTATTATTTCTATAATATTTAAATTAGAAATATTTAATTTGAGTTTATAATACAGAACTATATATAGTCTATAATAAAAATACAACTATTTAAATATAAATAATAAAATATTATAATAAAATAATATTAACTTTTAACCTTTATTTAATTGGATATACTAAACAACTTGTATTTATTATATTAAAAAAATTGTTGCATTATTTTGAATAAAACTAAATAATTTCTAATTTTATTAATTTATATAACACTTACAGAACATTTTATATTATTATTAATTAAGTATTTAATAATTATGTTAATTTAGTGTTATAAACAAATAAAAAATAATGTTAAATTATTTTTACAAAAATAATTTAACAAATAATTCAAATTCAAAACACAAACTACTAATCTATTTGTTAACTTTAGTTCATATTATAAATATAATTAAAATACTAATAATATTGTCTATTAATTTAAATTATGTACATGGTAAATTATTATTTGATGCTACACTGTTTATCGGAGGTCATAAACTATTGAATACAATTATTTATTTATTATGCATAATTTGGTTATTAATTATACGATTATTATTTTATTTACCAAACAACAAAAACAACCATCCTCAATTATTATATTGGACAAAATTGATGTTAATTACCAATGGTCAAATTAACTTAATTGAACTGGAATTAAATCATGATAGACACCGATTGATATTGATAAAAATTATTGATCGTGTTAAATTAATTAAAAAATTTAGTAAATATTTTAGAATAATATTATGTATGTATAAACAAAAATTTTTAACTAAAAATTTTAAAGAAAAAACATATATATATTTATTAAATTTTTTGTATTTTCTCATTATTTTCCAGGTTTATTAATATTATTGACTAATTTATTTATTATAATCAATTACTATACATTAATTGAATTTTTATTGGCATTAATACCAATTATTTTGTTTATATTAACAACTTATGTCGGCTCCTATGATGCACTTAATAGTGCCGCATATTTCTATATAATTTGTTATTATTTTAGACAACGCATTCAATTATTGAACAAAAATATATTGCAAACAATAGATTTTCAAACAAAAATTCAAAATACAAATAATATCAATAATAATTATAATATTATTGAAAATTTATTTAAAGAGCATCACATTATATGCAAACAAATTAAATTCTTTGACAAATTTTGGCATCGATTTTATTTTTGTATAATTATTATATTAATACCACTTAATTTATTTTTATTAATTGCCTTAATATTTACAAAATCACATATAATATCAATGTTAACATATATTATGGGTTTACTCTATACATGGTTTTTCATATTTTTCATATCATTTTGTGCATCAATTGTTTCAAAGACACTACATTTGTCGTCAAATAAAATATGTAAATTGCAATTACATTCACATAATAATACATTTTATCTTAAATTAAAAGTAATGATGTTTTTTGAGAAATTAATATCAAAAATGTTGATTTTTGGTTTTACTGTCGGACCGCTATTTGTTATGACTTTTCCTAAACTATGTTTTGTAAGTTATAAATATTTTTAATAATTTTAGATTAATACATAATATGAAATTATTTTAATTATATTAATTTTAATATTTTGTTTATTTTGTTTAGCTATCTATTATGTATTGTCGGTATTTTATACTATTACTTAAATTCTACGATACAATCAAATAATTTTAATATTATTTATTAAAAACTAAACTAAAATTAACAATTTTGTATTATTATTATAATAACATTTTTATATTATTAATATTTGTTTAAAACGATTTTTTTAATTTTTTTAATCTAAACAATAATTTTGTATTAAAACATAATAATAAATCTGCGCTTAATTGTAATTGCTAAACATTTAAATATTTAACATTTTAATTATTTGTTTTGTTTGTTTTTAATTTTATTTTTAATAAAACAAAGTCAATATTTTTTAATATTAAAATTATTAGGTTTTTTAAAATAAAATATATTTTAAACTTTAAAAATATTTATATCTGCATCGGTTTTAATGAAATTCTACTCTATTTAGTGTATCTATTGTCAAAAATTCAATATATGAATAACTATTTGTAATAAATAATAACTAATTATAAAATTATTTTTTTAGAATTATTAATATATAATATATAAATTATATTTTATAATTAATTATAATAATTTTATTGCCAACTTTTAATAATTAATAATTAATTAACTTATAACTAATTTACTGTAACAGTAGATGTAATTTGTTATTGTAACTTATTGCATTAATATATTAGCAATATATTTAATATAAATTAGTAATTTTATTATAAATATATTAAAATACTGACATAATTTGTTATCTTAAAAGTTAATAATAAAATATATGATAATAAATATTTTGTCAATCATTAAGTATATAGGAATAATTAATATTTTATTATAAAAAATTATTATCTTAAACAACAATGCATAATTACCTAGATAGTTCAAAACATATTGATAACTTAAATTATCAAAACAATATTTTAGATAAATTTTTAATTCTATTAAATATAATATTTTTATTAAAAGTTTTAATACCCTTATGTTTTAATTTGTCTAACAATCAAAGCAAAATATTATTTGATTTTTCATTGTTTATGTGTGGCAATCAATTATTAATTGGTATAACATATTTACTAATGTTTATTTTAGCATTAATTTTGCAATTATTATTTTATTTACCAAATGATAATAATATTAAATCAATTTATTGGATTAAACTGATGCTCGTTATAAATGGCCAGTTAAATAAATGTCAACTTTGCCTAACTAATAGACATAACAAAATTATTAATAAGCTAATTGATCGTGCTAAATTAATTAATTTGCTAAGTAAATTAATTAGCAAATTTGTTTGTAAGTATTATTGTTACTATTAAAATATTAATTTTTTAAATTATTATTAATTTTTTTATTGTACTATAGTTTTGGTAAATCTAAGCATAACAATAATTATTGTTTATAGATTTTATAGTTTATTAGAGTTTTTATTTGCTTATGTATTCATTGTTATAACTAATATAACATTTTATATGGGCTGTTATATTGGATTCAATAGTGTCGCATATTTTTATATAATTTGTTATTATTTTAAAATTCGCTTAAACTTATTGAACAAACATATTATGACTAAATTAAATAAAATACAACAAAAATCATTGTCTAAAAAATCTTTGAATAAAGTTTTTATTGAACATCACATTATATGCAAACAAATTGAAATGTTTGATAAATTTTGGCATAAATTTTATTTCTATATAATAGCTATATTAATACCAGTTAGTTTATTAGCATTACTTTTATTAATTTTTATAACTGTTGACATATTACTTATGTTATTATACATATGTTTATTATTATATTCATGGTTTCTAATATTTTTTATATCATTTTGTGCATCAATTGTATCCAAATCTATGTGTATGTCGTCAAACAAAATAATTAAATTGCAATTAGATTTGATTAGTAAAATTCGACTAAAATTAAAATTAATGATATTTTTTTGAGAAATTAATGTCAAAACGATTGATCATTGGTTTCAGTGTCGGTCCACTATTTGTTATGACATTTCCTAAACTTTGTATTGTAAGCTATATTTTTTAAATATTATATTTAAATATTAGATATTAATAATCCTTTTTTATATTATTTTTTATATTTTAGTTAACAATAATGTATTGTCGCTATTTATTATTATCAATAAAAATTTATGTTTCAAATGCCTAATATTATAATTTACTAATTAATAATATTTAAAGTTTATTAAAATTTAAAAAATGTATCGAAATAATAATTAATTGTTGAATAGTAATTTTTTAAAAATACTTTTAATACACGAAAATATTAATAAAATAAAATTTAAAAAACTTAATTAACAGAATATTTATTTAAGTCTTCATAATAACAAAAACTGAGATCAAGTCTTTTAAAAAAAAACAATTTATCATTTAATAAAAATGAAATTATATTTGACTAATTAAATAAATAATATATTAATATTAAAAATTTATATACTTTGCTATTAAAAAAGAATAAATATTAATTTTAGAAAACAAATAATAAGTTTTTAAAAAAATTATAATGTATTTTGACATTTATAATATACTATAATAATTATCAATAAAAATATCATTAATAATAATAATTAATAGTTAATTAGATAACATCTGTAACTGTTTTAACAATAAGTTGGTCTTTAATTTCATGTTCACTAATGTTTTGATTTGATTTAAAAATAATTGATTTTTGTCCGTCAAATATGAAAAATCCGTTTTGCATGAATTGTCCGCTAATTTGTGTATTATTTTTAAATAGTTTAAAGTCTAACAAAACAAACGGTGCAATTGTTTCCGACGACAAACTTATTATAAATGTTTTATCATTTAAACCTTTCTTGACATCACTTACTTTAATATTAGGTTTAATTAAATTTGAATTTTTCGGTTCCGCTAATAACATAAAGTTATTTGTCTACAAAATAATATAATATAAAAAATTTAATTTATAATATTTTAATTATTAATTAATTACTAAATCTAAAAAAATATTTTATAAAAGTACTGTACCTGTAGTTTATAACTTAAATTATTGATTTCAATACTAAGTAAACAATCATTTCTATCCATACATTTAGATTCAGTTAACAAATCGCTAATAGGTTTAATGTAAACAATTTTTGCCGAAAAACTGTCACTTTTGACTAATTTGTATAATTCATAGATTGGCTTATTTTGTGACCACTTATAGACTTTAATTTTCAAATTAAAATCGATTTTTTGATAATAGTCATTAACTAACGCAATCTATATAAAAAATAATTATATAAAATAATTTTCAATAATAAAATTTATATAATAATTGTTATTACTTTGAGTTTATTATTGTCTTCATAGGGAACAACCAATAAATTATCAAAAAATTGTTTGGCATATGAATGCAATACTTTCCATTTGCCTGTATTTTCAATTGAAGCCCAAGTGGGCGCCTGCCATACGTCGTTTAGCTGCCAATACATGGCACCCATAGTAAATCCATTGCCAGTTTCGGTATCAATATTGCGATTTCGGCGATAAAATTCAGTTTCAGTTTTGAGAGCCATTGCTTGAGTTATTTGCGATAAATACAGAAAATCATTGAAACGATTGACAGTTCCATTGGAAGGCATCTTAAAATATCGGCCTTTATTTTGTAAATAAATATCAAATTTAACAATTATAATGAATAGTTAAAATAATTTTTGAATAATAATAAACTAACTGATCATATCCTCAATTGAGTTAAGATAATATATATTTCTTTGACGGCGTTTAACGGCTTTACTTAATGGATATGTAAAGTCATTGACAGAAAAAGCTTGAGATAATGTTGCCAATGATGGATACGATTGGAAACCGTATTCCGATACAAATTTAGCACTTGGATAGACCTGCCAGTCCCACAATGGACTGGTATAGTCATAAAAATGTATATCACCGTAACGATTATCATTTGTTTGTGTGTCGGTATAATTATCTTTAATGGTTTGTAAACCATTTGATGGACTCGATATGACAAACGGTCGACTCGGGTCTTCACTCTCGACAATAGGTTTAATATGTTTGACAAATAGTCGATAATAATCATCCTTTAGATGAGTTTGATTAGGAAAAAGTATTAATCTGAGCGCTTCTATCTCATTGTTTCCTAGATTTTAATAAATTGTAGTAAAAATTTAAGTTTATAGTATCCAAAATGTTACAGACACCTACCCGACCAAATTGCAATTGACGGATGATGTTGAATACGTCTCACTTGTTGACGTACTTCCAGGTCAACTGTTTCCAAAAATTCCGGGTTTGCCGGATATGGAGAAAGAGTAAACATAAAGTCCTGCCAAATCATAAGACCCAATTCGTCGGCCAACCCGTACAGATAGTCTGTCTCATAGACACCTCCGCCCCAAACTCGCATAATATTCATGTTGGCCTCCTTTGCCGACACCAATAAGTGTCGGACGTATTCGTCGGTAACAACATCGAGAAGATTGTGAGCCGGTATCCAATTGGTCCCCTTTGCGTAAACGGCCAAATCGTTGACTTCAAAATAAAATGTCAAACCCATTGGTTTAACAGGTTTTTGAACCAAACGAATGGTACGAAAACCTATTTTCTTTGTCATTGAAGACCACTCATAGTTGTTGTTGTTGTCCACAAACGATACGTTAACTTTCAATTCATATAATTTTTGTGTATTATTTGCCACACCGTTGGGAAACCACAACATTATCGGTAAAGTGTCGGGTATTTTGATTTCAAACCTAACACTTAACTCTCCATTGCTATTGGTTTTCAATAAATGCTTTCTTCTACTAATTAAAACATTTTCATCTAAACTAATATCAAACTTTGTATTTAATACTCTATCAGTTGGTGGTGTCGTTAACTCAAGAAATACTATCAAATTTAATGTCCAGCGAGACATAGATCTGGTAGTCTTCACAACAATATCTCTGATAATTCCCATATCGTATACTTCAAGACCAATATCTTTCCAAATACCCTGAGTTGGAAATGATGGGCCCTTTTATAAACAAAAAAAATTTAAAAAAAGCATTTACTAAAAATAATGGGTAATTTGTACGCAAATAAATCAAATACAAACATAATCCCAACCAAAAGATGCGGCCATTTTACGTATGAAAGCATAATTATTTTCGTTAACTAAAAAAATATTAAATATGTTAAATATTTTCATTTATAAATAATTTATATAACCTGAAGGAATGGTATAATTATATTTTTGTTGAAAATCATTGAACTGTTGTTTAACATATGCCGGAGCCGATTGAAAAGCCACACGAATAGTATTTTTTCCCAATTTTAGGACTTGTTTGACATTAAACTTATATCTAACATATTGGTTGTTTGTTTTGCCAATTAGTTTATTATTTATAAAAATACTGCTAACAGTATCAATGCCTTTTGCCAATAGGTTAACAGTTTTTTTATTTAATATATTTGAATCGACTTTTAAAAAGATATCAATTAGTATTATATAAGTTATGATTTATATTAGAAAAATAGCTAAAACTAAATACAATAATACTGTATATTACCCGTAAATGTTTTCACATAAGTCCAGTTGTCTAACGAAACCCATTGATATTCAATATCATTATATTGTATGTAAATATCCTGTTTAAGTATACCCTCTCGTCTCAGATCTGAGTGTATACTTCCCGGTACTTTAGCTTTCACTTTGATTGCTTTAATTAGAGATAAATATTGAAATTTTTATAAATAATTTATTAATATATTAATTGCAATTAAACATTACATTTATTTTGACTAATTGCCAGCCAATCATTGCCATTAAGCGATATAAATTCACCACTAATTTGAGTTATGATTAAATTTAAATTAATAAAAACTAACAAATAATAGTACATATTATTAAACTTATATTTTTTATTATATTTTTGTAATAATTATGTCTAAATAAAAATTGTGTCTTTTAGTTTAGCAAGTTTTTTATAGTATAGTTGTATTAATTTTTTGTGTGTATGATTTATATGCTTTTTGAATTAACTCAACACAAAAACCAGTTAACCATTTGTTAAGTATATTGACCTTTAATTATTTTGATCATTAAATTATAACCCTTTTAATTATTTTGACTAATAATAAATTGTATTATATAATTGCAAAGTGGAAGTGAAAGTTTTTTTTATGAATAGACATTGTATTTGACTATTAATAAGTAATATTGTGAAAGTTTATTATTACTTTATTATTTATGACAATACACACACACATGATTATTACAGTGACAACAAAAATATTATTTATTAATAATATTTGTTATTTTCCTGATGTTTAAAATAAATTTTAACTAATATGCTATTTGTAATACAATATACAAGTATAGTCTATACAGTATTAGTTAATTTTGCTAATTCATTCAAATAAGTACTTTTATACTAAAAAAATAAAAATAAAAATATTTTTTAATGTACACACAATTATTGTTGTTATGTTTATTAATTCAAACAAATTATTTCATCTTAAGTTTTAATGTATAATAATAATAATAAATAATATAATAAATAAATAATAAAAAAGTTATGACAACTTCCCAAAGGAGGGAACTTTCAAAAAAAATCTTTCAATTTTCCCTGAAAATAGGTAAAAAATATTTTACTTTATTATGCCCTTTAATAAAAAATATTAATTATTTTAAAATATTCTAATAAATAGTATAATACTATTCATAACACCACCACTACTTCATACTATACTATTTTATATATAACATACAGTATATAAAATACAATAAAATACAACTAAAAAAGTAATTAAAAATACAATTAAAACATTAATTTTATTTTGACTAATTGCTTGCCAATCATAGCCGTTAAGTGTTAAACAGTAAATTCAAAATTAATTATAGCAATGATTGTATTTGATATAATAAAAACTAAAAAATAATTTGATAAAAATAATTTAAAGTTGATTGTATTAAATTTATTATTATTATTATTAATAATAAACTGTTTTAGAAATATATTCAAATAATTATAGTAGCTGTATTTCATTTCATATGATATATATGTTTTATGTGTACTAACTGAACATTTTAAACATTATTTTATCATTAAATGTTTCAATCAATTAATTTATCTTGCTAAATATTTAAATATAATACATGTAAAAAACTTTAAATTTAATAATTTTTATTATTTATTATAAAATAGTTATAAACTTAAATAAGCAGTATACTAGATATTTATGATAGTTAATTTTATAATAGTTTTATTTTATATATCATAAATGTATTGTATATTATTAATAGAAACATTATGAGTTTTTTTCAAGATTATTCAAGGTAATTATTAACGTCATTAAATAAAAGTTAAAATTAGTAAATAATTTTATTAATTTTTTTCAGTATATGTAGTTTGTTATTGATATAGATACTAATATTAAAATAGATAATAATACTATTATAATTTAACTTAACTATGAATCTACAATATTTGTTGTTGTTTAAAAATATTATTAGTCAATAATTATTAATAGTCTAAAAATATTAATAGTCAAAAAATAATAATAGTTAAAAAAATATTAATAGTCAAGAAATATTAAAAACATTTTTTAGATGACTTTATTTTGTATATACAGTATTTATTTTATATTTTATAATTAAAATATTTGTATAACAACAATGGATAATTACCTTAATAGATCAAAACATGTTAACAAATTAAATCATCAAAATAAAGTTTTAGTAAAATTATTAATTTTATTAGATTCAATATATTTGATAAAATTATTGATACCATTGTGTTTTAATTTAACTAATAATCAAAGAAAATTAATATTTGATGTATCAATGTTTATTGGTGGTCATCAATTATTATATTTATTATTATATTTGTTTATTTTTATTTTAGTGCTAATATTTAAATTATTATTTTATCTACCAAATAATAATAATTGTAAATCAATGTATTGGATCAAATTGATGCTTATTATTAATGGTCATATAAATAAACGTCAACTTAATTTAAGTAATAAACATAATAAAATAATCCATAATCTAACTGATCGAGCTAAATTAGTTTATATGTTTTCAAAGTTATTAATTAAAATTGTTTGTAAGTATTACAGTTATATTATTTTTTATCACTTACATTTTATAATATATTTTTTTAAAATTATACAATAGCTTTGTTATATTTATGCATAACAATTGTAATTGTCATCAAATTTTACACATTTTTGGAGTTTTTGTTTGCCTACATATTCATTGTTATAACAAACATAGCATTTTATTTTGGCTCAAGTGATGCATTCAATAATGTTATCTATTTCTATATAATTTGTTATTATCTTAAACTTCGGATAATTTTATTCAATAAACAAATTATGTTAAAAATTAAACAAATAAAACAACATTCATTATCTAATAAATCGTTGAATAAATTATTTATTGAACATCACATTATATGCAAACAAATTAAAAGATTTGATAGATTTTGGCATAAATTTTATTTTTATATAATTATTACATTAGTACCAATTAGTTTATTAGTATTAATTCAAATTTTATTTATCAATACTGAAACTTTGGTTATGCTATTATATATTATTGCATTATTATATTCATGGTTTCTGATATTTTTTATATCATTTTGTACATCAATTGTGTCAAAATCGCTTTGCATATCATATAATATGATTATTAAATTACAGTTAAATATTAGGAAAATTCATCTAAAATTAAAACTAATGATGTTTTTCGAGAAAATAGTATCAAAACGATTGATCATTGGTTTCAGTGTCGGTCCGCTATTTGTTATGACGTTTCCTAAATTATTTTTCGTAATATATATTTATTTAATTAATTTAATTAATATTAATTTATAATAATTAATTATTTTTGTTTTCTATTGTTTTCAGTTAACAATAATGTATTGTCGATATTTTATCTTATCTCTAAAATTTTATCAGTCTATTAATTAATATCAATTATAAAATTGTTAGTTTTTATTATAATACTAGTTAAAAATAATGTTTTGTCGTTATTTTATGTTATCCTTAAAAAAAATTTTTGGTATAATAATTAATAGTAATTATTAAATTTTTAGTATAACATTATTATGATTATTATTATCAATAAATTTTCTATTAATACATACATATTTTATTTAATTTATTAATTATTTTTAAAAATCTATTTTCAACATAATACTACAAAATATATATATTTGGTATATTTTAGATATTAATTAAATAATATTAATATTTTTATGATTATCTTCAATAATAAAATGGACACCCCTTTCACCAGCTAACAGTGCCGCTGGATTAGGATCAGCATTAACAATATCTGGATATATGGATAGGTCGACAATACGTAGTCCATGAACACCCCTTACACGGAGGCGCTCATCTACAACACTATTTTCAGTACCGGTATTATTATTATGTGCACTCATACGACATGTGCCAACATAATGATACTCTGATGTCGTATACATTTTCATAATACACTTGTGATATTCGCTGCACTTATGTAATGGTATACTACTATTAGTACAATACTCGCATCCCGGTGCCTGAACAGGTTTAATAGTGGTAAACTGTCCAAATAATGGCGTTTCTTCTACTAATCGAAAGGCATTGGCAATAGCATCCAGAAACGCTAGTTTGTCGTCTTTGTGTTTCAATAAATTTTGATTGACTATCGGCGGCACCTTTGGATCGGTAGCTCGCAGTTTGATACTACCGGTGCTTTTGCAGCGAACAACACTGATCTTAATTTTCAGTTGAGATCCGGATGCTGTTAACTGGTACTTAATGTCGGGATAGTTAGTATTGTTTTCGGATAAGTTGGAGTTCCACATAATAGTCAACTCTGCCGGTGCATCACAAAGAGCACCGGTATGTCGTATATTAGCTTCATATAGTTGTTGAACGTTTGTCAATATAGATCCCAGGTTTGCCACGGTTTTATTTAGTGTAAAGTTGCCAACAAAATCCAGTGTAACTGATGGATGTGTTTGGTATCCCTGTCCTACTGCTGGTATATCACTCCATACGGGTGTTACGCCTACATCGTCTAAATGCTGTTTGGGACCAATACCAGACAGCATCAGTAGTTTGGGTGACTCTATAGCACCTGTATGTATAAAAAGATGACAATTAAATTGAGTAATATATTTTGCAACGATATATTAGCAGAGATACAGTACCTGCAGATAGGATGACCTCTTTGTCAACAGTGACGGTATGTTTTGTGTTATCTTTAATAAACTCTAAACCATATACTTTTGGTTTACCAGCCAATGATGTCCTATTGATAAGGAGTTTGACTGCCAGTGCTTTGGTTAGTATATCCAATTCAGGGCACATGTCGTTTCTTTCAATATACGATTGAACAGTACTCTGGCGTTGACAGTCCCGATAACTTTTCGGTGTTACGGCAATACCGTAAACTGTATCATCGTTTAGATTGACAATGGGTAGGCCTGAATTGTTTAACGTTTGTTGTATATCCATAAGCCATGAAATATTATTTATAGTTGACACACCTATCGGTCCATTAGTACTGTCAGCTGCAGCACTGGGATTGGTATTATTTTCAATTAACTTGAAATATGGCAGCAAATCATTATAGCTCCAACCGGTAATACCTAAATTATTATAGTACTCACGACTACCTCTTATATAGACCATATTGTTAACGGTTGAACCGCCTCCCAATATCTTACCGGCCTTTTGAACAATATTTTTATTTTGAACTATATCTACCTGAGCTTCGGTAGTATAACTCCAAAATTGTTTGTCATAATCCATCACTTCATCGGCCATACCGGGCAAATCGTTGATCAGTGCATCGGCTGGACCTCCGGCCTCTAGCAATAGGACAGTAGCGTTAGTTATGGCCGACAAACGACAGGCCACTATAGTGCCGGCACTGCCGGCGCCAACAACAACATAGTCGTACACACGATAACGTTGATGTTGATGATAGGCTGTCCTTTCGTGAATCAGTTGGCGCTCGTAGAGTACGTCGACAACTACTAACATCATCCATACAAGCGATGATTTAGCTGTCAGTGCGATCACATTAGACATAATTGTTTTTTAACTATATTTTTATAAGCAATTAATAGTTAAATAGTTTCTTAAAGAAAAATTAGATATACTTTAAGATAGTATATCAACTTTAGGTGCAAATGTTATATAAGATTATTTTTTTGAGCTTAATATATGTTACAAAAATATTAATAGTATTTTATATATTATTTATGGTGTGTATGTGTTTTGCGCATTTATTTAATTATTGGGAAAATCAATTGATTGACTGATATTTATTTTTTTAAAAAAACACAATTTCAATGTCATATGTAAATTAAAATTATTTCTCAATTAAAAAAAAATTAATTTATTAATATTGATAATTAATAGTTTAATGTTTACTAAATTTCCAAGAAATTTCCAATTTGATTGAAAATAAAAAACTAAAAAGTTTTTTTTATATCATAATAATATTTTGACTAAACAAAATCAAAACAAAGTTATTCATAAATTGATAAAATAAATTTTGATAAAAATTAGAAAATAAAATGAATAATTATTTATATAATTATTGTTTTGAATTAAATTATGAAAATCTGTGTGTATATCATATAATGTGATTTTTGACTTCACTACTACCCGATCCATGAGCTCGTAGTATAGTAAATGTTTTTCAACCAAGTTTTTAGATATACTGGATATTATTTATTTTTGGGAAATACATAATATTAGAATAATACATTATATGCAATTATAATTTTAGTAATCATTTTTATTTAATTTATTAATGATTTATATTTTATTAAATTTATGAATGATGTTTAAACAATTTATGTTTAATAAAAAATAGAAAAAACATTTATGTTGTTTAGTTTGTTCAATGTTATGTGTATCATACTGTATTAGTATTATGTGAACAGCATATTAGTATCAAGGTTAATTGTATACAAACATATAATTATTGAATATCAATAATATGTTGTCCAGTATATTACTAGTATTATTACATTAAAAAAATATATTATAATTAAATATTTACTATTGAGTGTTTTGTTAACAAATAGTGTTAGTAAATAAACAGTTAACTATTACCTGAATAAATAATTATCAATAAATTTACTTTTTAATTATAGAAAAGTATTATATTAAAAAAATACACTTGTTTTTTGTTTTAAAACATATAGTTAATTGTTTATTGATAAATTTAGATTAAATTATTTGTAATTATTTTTTCTTTTAATAATCAATTATGTAATTAAACAATTTTATTAAACTTAGCTAAATATTATGACTGCCAATGCCAATACAGTATAATATTAAAATATAATACAACAAAAAGTATTAATAATAATAATTGATAGTTAATTAGATAACATCTGTAACTGTTTTAACAATAAGTTGGTCTTTAATTTCATGTTCACTAATGTTTTGATTTGATTTAAAAATAATTGATTTTTTTCCGTCAAATATGAAAAATCCGTTTTCCATGAATTGTCCGCTAAATTGTGTATTATTTTTAAATAGTTTAAAGTCTAACAAAACAAACGGTGCAATTGTTTCCGACGACAAACTTATTATAAATGTTTTATCATTTAAACCTTTCTTGACATCACTTACTTTAATATTAGGTTTAATTAAATTTGAATTTTTCGGTTCCGTTAATAACATAAAATTATTTCTCTACAAACAAAAATAGTTTGATTATCAATTAATTAATATATCTATTATTTTTTTTAAATCATTGATTATACTGTACCTGTAGTTTATAACTTAAATTATTGATTTCAATATTTAGTAAACAATCATTTCTATTCATACATTTAGATTCAGTTAACAATTCGTCGATAGGTTTAATGTAAACTATTTGTGCCGAAAAACTGTCACTTTTTACAAGTTTATACAACTCATAGATTGGCTTATTTTGTGACCACTTATAGACTTTAATTTTCAAATTAAAATCAATGTTTTCATAATAGTCATTGACTAATGAAATCTAATTTTTAAAAATAAATCAAATTATAATAAAGAATTTATTAAAATAGTTTTTTAAAATAAAATTTATATAATTATATAATTACTTTGAGTTTATTATTGTCTTCATAGGGAACAACCAATAAATTATCAAAAAATTGTTTGGCATATGAATGCAATACTTTCCATTTGCCTGTATTTTCAATTGAAGCCCAAGTGGGCGCCTGCCATATGTCGTTAAGATGCCAATACATGGCACCCATAGTAAATCCATTGCCTGTTTCGTTATCAATGTTACGATTTCGGCGATAAAATTCAGTTTCAGTTTTAAGAGCCATTGCTTGAGTTATTTGCGATAAATATAGAAAATCATTGAAACGATTGATAGTTCCATTGGAAGGCATCTTAAAATATCGGCCTTTAATTATAAGTAATAAATAAATAATAACTATAATAAGGGATTCTTAAAATAATGTCATAATAATTATCATAAACTAACTGATCATATCCTCAATTGAGTTAAACACGTAATGATTTCTTTGACGGCGTTTAAAGGCTTTACTTAAAGGATATGTAAAGTCATTGACAGAAAAAGCTTGCGATAATGTTGCCAATGATGGATACGATTGGAAACCGTATTCCGATACAAATTTAGCACTTGGATAGACCTGCCAGTCCCACAATGGACTGGTATAGTCATAAAAATGTACATCACCGTAACGATTATCATTGGATGATAGTATTGATTCAGTGTAGTTATCTTTAATGGTTTGTAAACCATTTGATGGACTCGATGTTATAAACGGTCGACTCGGGTCTTCAATTTCGACAATAGGTTTAATATGTTCAACAAATAGACGATAATAATCATTGTTTAGTTGTTTCTGATTTGTAAAAAGTATTAATGAACAATACTTTATCTCATTGTTTCCTAGTTTAGTGAATTATTCAGAAATAACCTAGTTAATTTATTATATTGATATTGATATATATATTAGATAATCAAACACCTACCCGACCAAATAGCAATAGACGGATGATGTTGAATACGTCTCAATTGTTGTCGTACTTCCAGATCAACTGTTTGAAGAAATTCCGTGTTTGCCGGATAGGGAGAGACGTCAAACATAAAATTATGCCAAATCATAAGACCCAATTCATCGGCCAACTCATAGAAATAGTCTGTCTCATAGACACCTTCTCCTAACACACTTATCATATTCATGTTGGCCTCCTTTGCCGAAACCAATAAGTGTCGGACGTATTCATCGATAACAACATCGAGAAGATTGTGAGCCGGTATCCAATTGGTTCCCTTTGCATAAACGGCCAGATCGTTGACTTCAAAATAAAATGTCAAACCCATTGGTTTAACCGGTTTTTGAACCAAACGAATCGTACGAAAACCTATTTTCTTTGTCAGTGAAGACCACTCATTGTTGTTGTTGTCCACAAACGATACGTTAACTTTCAATTCATATAATTTTTGTGTATTATTTGCCACACCGTTGGGAAACCACAACGTTATGGGAAAAGTGTCGGGAATTTTGATCTCAAACATGACACTAATTTCTTCATTACTATTAGTTTTCAATAAATGCTTTCTTCTACTAATTAAAACATTTTCATCTAAACTAATATCAAACTTTGTATTCAATACTCTATCAGTTGGTGGTGTCGTTAACTCAAGAAATACTATCAAATTTAATGTCCAGCGAGACATAGATCTGTTAGTCTTCACAACAATATCTCTGATAATTCCCATATCGTATACTTCAAGACCAATATCTTTCCAAATACCCTGAGTTGGAAATGATGGGCCCTTTTTATCAAAAAAAAAAAATAAAAAAAAAACATTTATTAAATATAATTAGTTGTTTGTATGCAAATAAATCAAATACAAACATAATCCCAACCAAAAGATGCGGCCATTTTACGTATGAAAGCATAATTATTTTCGTTAACTAAAAAAATTTAATATAAAAAATCATTATTTAAAAAAATAAATAATTTCATTTATAAATAATTTATATAACCTGAAGGAATGGTATAATTATATTTTTGTTGAAAATCATTGAACTGTTGTTTAACATATGCCGGAGCCGATTGAAAAGCCACACGAATAGTATTTTTTCCTAATTTTAGCACTTGTTTGACATTAGACTTATATCTAACAAATTGGTTGTTAGTTTTGCCAATTAGTTTATTATTTATGAAAATACTGCTAACAGTATCAATGCCTTTGACCAATAGATTAACAGTTATTTTCTCTAATATATATGAATCGACTTTTTTTATAAAAAAAAATATTTAAAAATAGATATCAATTTGTTATTATTTTTTATAAGGTTATTATTTTAACAACAAAAATAACTAAAACTAAATACAATAATACAGTATATTACCCGTAAATGTCTTGACATAAGTCCAGTTGTCTAACGAAACCCATTGATATTCAATATCATTATATTGTATATAAATATCCTGTTTAAGTACACCCTCTCGTCTCAGATCTGAGTGTATACTTCCCGGTACTTTAGCTTTCACTTTTATTGCTTTAATTAAAATATTAAAATTTTTATGAATAATTAATATATTAATTGCAATTAAACATTACATTTATTTTGACTAATTGCCATCCAATCATTGCCATTAAGCGATATAAATTCACCACTAATTTGAGTTATGATTGGATTTAAAATAATAATAACTAACAAATATATTGATATTAATAATAATTTATACTTCATTGTATTAAATTTTTATTTTTGTTTAATATGTTTTTTTTGTTTCAGTTTCATCATGGCAAGTTTTTATAATATAAAAATTTCAATAATTTAATAAGAAATTTTGCAAACGTCATTTTTTAATATCAAATAATACAATACATTTGTATATTGACATAGATTTTTTATATTATAATAATTTAGTTTTTACAGTTTAAATTAAAAAAAAATTAGAAAATTAAATTATTAATTATTTATATAATTATTGTTTTTAAATAAAAAAAACTGTGAAAATCTGTGTATATTTCATAATATAAATTAATATTAAAATAAATAGATTATTTATATAATATTTTTTAGTTTATTTAATGTTTTAATGATTTTTTTATAATAAAAAATCGAAACAAAAAACCAATGTAAACGTATACACATAACTCTAACACACATTTAAAAAAAAAGTCTAAATAAATTGTTGCTTATCTCTGCCTAAAGCTATTACTCTGATTTGAGTGCCTATAGACTGGCCACCACTGCCACCACTATCTGGAATAAGTCCATAATTATTATTGGGACGTTTGGTCACTCTAGTCACGTATTGATTATGATAGCAATCAATATTGTAAATGCGATACATTTTATCGGACATTGGATCAAATTTATTGGCCATATTCTTACAAAACGATTTGGCTTTTCTTAAATACATACTGTTGTTGTTGTTGTTGAATACATTTCCAGGACAGTAGTATCGACGCTTACCACAGGTGCTCCGGCTGCTACTGGTGCCGCTAGTTAGCAGGTGAGTAAACTCTTTGGGTATACAGTTTACTTTATTTAGTCGGTAAAGCATATATTCAATACACTTTCCATAATTTAATTCCTCTTTATTATAATAGTAACAATTTGACAGATGAGGTGACGGTAGTCTATACAAGGTTTGCGATTTATACGAAATAATTGTAATGTATTTAGACTCTGGTCTAATAGTGTGGAAATTGTGTTTGCCAATATTTATTACCGGATCGTTAACATTGTGCACAGTTATCATTAGCTCCGGTATGTCCAAGTTTATCTTAGTTATTAGCGTTGGATAATCATCACTAGTTAATGAGCCATAGTCTAGTGTCCAACAAAACAACTGGGCATTCAATGACAACTTTATCTGTTTAATAGGAATTATACCGACATCCAGGTGCTTGGATAGTGTATTGTTTGGAAATAGTATCGCAAACTGTTCCTCTATTAGCAGTTCATTTAGTTTATCGGTCAATATTTCGAGTTTGTCAGCATCTATAGGCCTGGACATCGGCTGATCATCCGAATCATTGACACCGAACACCTGGCGATAGAACTCGTTGCTAACTAACTGTGCTTTTGGTGCACACATTGTCACTGATGGCAGTCTATTGTCGTACGTATAGTTAAAAGGTGTGTCCACTATGTTGTAAAGCGGATAAATTATTCAATTTTCAATTACATAAAAAGCAGTAAAACCATAGATTATTTGTCCTAATATTATACTATGATTTAATATATAGTTTAACATAATAAATGTTGTTTTTAAAAATTTTTATAATATTATAATTTTTGTTGTGATGTTTTCTGAGATACGATATATTATTTATATCAATAACCTCACAAAAAACATAGTAATAACTTATTTTGTTGTTGTTGTTATTAAAATAATATACAATAAATAAAATAGACTATTAATATGAAAATATTAATACACAATAATTAAATGTTATTATATATTTTGTTAATATATTTTATAACAAATAACTAATATTTAATAACCTTTTAACGATAATTATTTTTAGATACATTTAGTGTTGGAAAACAATGAAAATATCTTAAAAATAATAGAGAAATTTCTAGAATTTTTCTAAAAAATATACACAAAAAATTACTAAATATTATTATTAGTAATATAATTAATATTAAAAGTTTTTAAAATTTATTTATTTATTTAATCACATTAAACAAAAAAAAATATTTCAATAATGAATATAATTTTACAAAAATTATAATTATAATTAGATATTTAATTATTTAATTTATAGTAAGCTATTGTAGTGTAATTTAGTGTACAGAATAAGTCTCACTATTATATTAATAGAATAATACTAACTATATATTGTAGACTAACTACAGTACAATTTCTATAAAAACAATTTATGAGAAATTTACTATAAATTTTCTCATTTAAATTTATTAGAACTTTTGATCTGCCCATCTCTTTGCTAAATTATTAAGTTTTTTTATAATAAAACATATTAAGTAAAAAATCATAAAAACATAAACAATATTATTTATTGTAGTATTATATTGATTTGTAATTATTGTTAATAACAATATTACAACTTTTTCAAAACAAAGAAAAAATCATTTTATTTTGTATGAAATAGTAATGTATAATATTTCTTATTATTATCTTTTAGTAATAATAGTATCTTTTGTTATAGATAACTATTAACTTAAGTAACTATATTAAAAGTACAATACAATAAAGTAAAATAATATAAATATATGATATATAACTAAATTTTGAAACATTTAATAGTTTAATTTATTTATAATTAATTAATAATTAATTTATTAATAATACATTACAATTTATACAATGTATAATAATAACAGTTTTTTAATATTGTTTTTTATTTGCATTATATAAATTAATATATACAGTATACGCCGTATATTATATATTATATATACGCCGTATACTATACGGTATAATATAATAATATTCAATACACATTAGTAATGTTACAACTTTTATATATTAATAGTAATCAAATATTTTTATAAAATTCAATTTTAATGCAAGTATTTCTTTCAAATTATAAAATCGTTTTCATTGAGATATACTTTAGCATTATTTTTATAATTATTAATTTTTATTAATCATTTAGATTTTGATATTTATATTGAGATAAAATATTAATACAATATTTCAAATAATATAATAAATACAATATATGTGTAACGTATGTGCTTTACCTCATACTTTGTAATTATGGTTTTTATTAAGTATTTAAAGTCTACTTTATCTCAAAGTTTTGTGTTTTTGCTAACTTTAATAGTAAAGTATAAATAGTTTTTTTATTAAGAAATTTTTAAAAAATACATTGAAAGTTTTCTTGAATAAAACATGGTATTAATAATAATAATAATAATAATAATAATAACTTATTAATATATCAATAATAGTTGTTGAATAATTTTTTTCAAATATTACAAAAAAATATGAAAACAAATTAATATAAAAATTAATAAAATATTTTTAATGTGAAAAAATAAATAAACAAAACTAAATTATGTACAAATCATTGATAAATATAATTAAACAAAATATAATATAATGTTTATATTATTGTAGAAATTTTTATCTATGTTAAGATTACCAGAATATTTTTCAAAATCAACAAATATACAACAATCATAGCCAATCATATATAAACTGTTTATATATTATATAAACTATTATATATACATACATATACTGTCCCATATTGTAAAATATGTCGACACATGTATAATGGGGTTTATAACTGACTATCATAACATCGATTATATTATTAGAGACCACTTTGATCTCAGTGTCATTAGACAAGTCATTAGGTCCATAATAATAATAACCGGGAAGTTTGGTTACTCTAGTTTTATATTGTTGATGAATGCAATCACTATTCCGATCATAAGTATTGTACAATAACTGACAATACGCGTTGACACGTGCCAAATACGTACTGATGTTAAACTCATCTCTAGGACAATAGCATCGGTGGTTACTAATGGTGCTGCTGTTGCTGTTGCTGTCGCTAGTCATGAGATAAGCAAACTCCCTGGGCAAACAGTTAACTTTATACAGCTTATACAACATTGATTCAATACACTTTCCATAGTTTTGTTGCGTATCGCTATTGTTGTTACAATTTGATAGATAGGGGAACTGTAGTAGATGCCAGGTTACAGATTCATAGTAAATAATTGTAGTGTATTTTGTATCCCGGCTAATCATATCGAAATTGAACTTATCAATATCTAGTATAGGTGTACGTTCATTGTGAACAATTACCAATAGCTCCGGGATGTTCAAAGATAGCTTAATTGTCAGTTCTGTCTTATCTTTAAGCTTAATAGAGTTGACTGTCCAACAAAACAACTGAGCATTTAATGAGCATTTTATCTGTTTAATAATAGTGTTTTCACCGACATCCAGGTGCTGGACAAGTGTATCGTTTGAAAATAGTACGTCAAACTGTTTATCAATTGATAGTTCATTTAGTTTATCGGTCAGTCTGTCGAGTTTGTCGGCGGCATCTATAGGCCTGAGCACTGGTTGATCGGCACCGACACCGAACACCTGGCGATAGAACTCGTCGCTAACAAACTGTGCTTTCGGTGCACACATTGTCACTGATGGCAGTCTATTGTCGTACGAGTAATAAATACGTGCATCGGTTTCATAGTTTAAATAAATTATCAAATTATTAATAATATGAATACCAAAAAATAATATGACTATCAATATTGTAATTATAATAGTTTTTAAAATAGACATTTTTAATTGTATGTATAGTAATGTACAGTATTTCAGTATTTAATAATACATATATTTTATATACAATAAATGTTATATTTTAAATATAATACAATTTATTATTGAAACAGTTTTAAAATGAAAAAAAAACTTTTGTTGTAACCTTGAAATCAATATAAAATTTATACAGTATAATAAAATAATATTCAATAGACATTAGTAATGTTGCAACTTTTATATATTAATAGTAATTAAATATGTTTATAAAATTCAATTTTATTGACCATCTATTTTGGCACTGATATGCCGTTAGTGGTACAGGTATTCAATACATTAGCATTTATACAGTACCTGTACATATGAATACAAAAGTATACAATTTACTTTATTTTCCACATTAACATTCAATACAGTATTACTAATTTTTAGCTAAATTTAAGTGCAATTGTGTAAAAAAATTTATTGTATTTAAAAAAGTAATACATCCTCTATTTTTTTCAACATTTGACCCAACCCTATACCACCAAAGACTATAAAAAAATATACAATAGATTTGTTGTTAATAATAATATTAATGGTAATAATAGCTGTGTT